TAAGAGTAATTTTGAAAATAAAAATTTTAATACAATTAAATAATTATGTAAGTAGGGAAAGTTTATGCAATAAAAAATTATAAAAGTTCTAAAAAGTTCACCCTGTAGCTACAGTTGCGCCACCCTTATTTAACGCTTTTCTACGTACACGTTTTCATACACAAAGACGGTTCTCCTTACCTCTACACTCCATGGGTCTGACTAAGTTGGTCCATTAAAATATCAGGACTTAAGAAGTTAAGAGCGCGTACTATCACATATTGCCAATCGTAGAAAGGATTTTTACATAGCTAAATCAAGTACAAAGTAACAAATATTAATATGGATAGCGAGGAATATCATTGGTTAAAAACATAATAGAATAAAATTTTCTCGATTGAAAAATCTCTAAGATAATTCTTATTTTCACCATGGACCTAATTGTTCTGGTCTTGGTGCATATTATGAAGCAACCAAATAATAATAAAAAGAAACAATTGATACAACTGACAAATATACAAAAATAAATCAATAAATATGCAAAAACTATAAAGTAAAACTATAATAATAAAAAAAATAAACTTACCTTGGATTCGAACCCTACACCCAGCGATTAGCAATAGCAATTGACTTAAAGAGGTAGCGCAGCAGGAACGAGGCAGTAAGATTATCGTAGACATTAGTTATCCGATTATTCGGTGTTTTTTTTTTCATTATGTTTTCAAAATTGTTAGTGAATGTATTTTTCATAATATACATATAAAATACTTTAAATAAAACTTATACAATTATTTTGTCTTAAAACCAAATAGACTAAATAATAAACAAAAACTATTCAAACATGTACATATTAACAAAAAAAAATTAGGTACGTAAACAGTGCTACCTATACATTATTACAAGTTATCAATTATAATCGTTAGCAACCTAACTTAGTTTCCGCGTGCGATATGATCGGTGTTTTCGTAAAAATAATGATGGCATTTAATTTCCCCAAAGGTACGAGTGCTTATCAACAAGGATGGAGGTTCTAATCTTGCAAAGTTGTTTTGTAGTTTGCACGTCCAAATAAATTATTATTCGCGGAGTTACGCTTTGGTCGAAAAATATTTTACTTCCGTATTTTTTACAGATAATCGTTGTTTTATTAATATACTTTCAAAAACTATTTGAAGCTTTTATTAATATTTAAAATAAATAGAATTTTGGAGCAACAAATTTTAAACATGGCAATAGGTGCTTAAAAAGCCCCTAATTTAGGCTTTTCCTAAATGCATTTTCTAACTTTGCGCTGATTTTCAGAAAACCTGATTTTTGCATCGACTTTGTTTTGAATAACGACTTTATTTTTATTAGTCCTTGTCATTGCCTATGCAATTCCTTACAGCACCTAATTAGCACTTAACTCCTTGCTATTAATATTTATCGTAAATCTACATTTAACAATTGTTTAAACGCACTGACGATAATAGATTCAATTGATTTAAATTTTTAGAAATTTTATTATTTAAATTTTTAGAAATTTGCGTTGCTGGCAAATTTCAACCGTTCGTTACGGTGTAAAATTTTAGAGCACCTATAATTTTTTAACTTAGCACCGAAAAAGCCCCTAATTTTGGCTTTTTCTAAATGCAAACTGCTGACTTTCCGTTGCTAGCGAGACACAAATTACAAAGTCACTATAATTCTTCACTGTGACTTTTTGGTAGCCGGAACGGCGGTCACGGTTTTTTTTTCAATATACACTATTTTGTCAAAATAGCGTATATTAAAAGTATACAAGGGCCGAATGCATCTATAGTGTTCTTACACTGTATGTTTTCAGAATGTGTAGCAAATAAATTTTTCAGAAAATATACGCGATTTCTGCGTACTAGCCGCGTATACTTTCTAACGCTAATTAGTTAATTAGTTAAGAGATAATACAAGGCTAGAACTAACACATTCTGACATTTAGGATGTTAACGCTTAACAAGTATTAATAAAGTATACAAGCTCAGAAATTTACTAAGTAAATGTCATTATATTAAAAAATATGCAACAATTAGTTATCAACTAATCATGTAGTTATTACTTTATGACAATTTAAAGGCAACTGTTAAAATAATGAAGACCTTTGTGAGAGAGAAAATTATTTTTATTATCCACTCAAATGTCCGGGCGACCATAGTCGCCTATAACTTTTTCCCGGTTGAACGTTAGGGTGACTAGAGCGGCCTCGCTGACCTCTACATTTAAAACGACTTTTTATCAATGGAAAGTAACAAAAAGTTTAATGAATGTTGCATTAGATGGATTTATATTAAACATGCGTCTATCGGTTTACTAAAAGCTCTATGCCAGGTAACAAAGATCATTGAAAAAAAAAGAAACAAGCGTTGTGTCAAGTTTTGCGTAGTGGTCAGTAGTACTATGAATTTTGTATTTAAAATGTAAATGATAATGTATTTTACTTTTGTACTAGTATTATATATTGAAATAATCCTCAAAATGCTTTCTCTTCGTATATACACAAGTTTTATGAATAGTCTGTAATAATGTTTTTATATGTGATGAAGTCGACATACGAAAATTTCGCCTTTGTGTGTCGGTTTTTCGTTAAGTTTTTCTATTATATATTATTTATTTTAATAAAATATTTCTTATAAATATAAACAAAATAAATACAAATTAAAAATAAATTGTAATAAATATAAATTTTAAAATAATAATAGTTTGCCACATTTTATAGCCGCCCGGGAGATCAGACCAGAACAGAGTATGTCGATATTTTAGATATTTTTGCATAAAAATACTTAATATTTATGTAAGGTTATTAGTATATTGGATAGGGTAGATCATGTTTTTTAATTATTGTACAATGAATATATTGCAATAAAATGATTCTGCGATATTATCAAATAAAATATAAAATATTGGGGGTTTTCGCTATATTTCTAAAATTAATCATTTGTTTTATCCGTTGCACTTCAATTGGGTAAGTTCAAAAAACATTGAGTTCTGCATTTCATCAGCTTTCTGTGTGTGTTTTATTCTGACATATGTAAAGAATTTTCTTCGTGTTAACCGTTTTAGTCGAATCGGTCGCGATCGGACCGTAAAAAAGCCGCGACGAGGCACTTAAATCTTATTTATATTCATAATATGTCAAATTACCTTCAACAAGAAATAAAATTAATTGTTAATATGATACATACTTTTTTACGGCATTCATTGTCATAATTAAATATAATTATGTGTACTTTATATATGTCGTAGGATAGAAATAAGATAAACCGAATTTTCGGAAAAAATCTAGGGTGATTACGAAAACACGGCTAATTAGATGATATACGGGTACGCGACCCCGGCTCCCCGAGCTACTGTTATTCTCATACCTTTCCTGCCGAGATAACAGTATCCTTACACCTGCGCTCCTACCCCCAACCTTCTTTTTCCTTTTCCCAAAATGGTAGCTTCCTCTACCAACAATAACATACCCAAAGAGGGTTGGTGTCAGGCAGGCGGCCGACTGTAAAACTTTTGCCAAATCCCATGCAGTAAACCTATGAATATTACGAGTTGTGGGATATATGACAGGGCTAGGGCGTACCCCGCAGGCGACGCGCAGGGGCAGCACCCGGCTCCTGTGGGAAGTGGGCAAGGGTTGTCGCACCTTACGGAGCGGGTGCGACGTAAGAGGCGAGCCCGGAGAGAGAAGAATGTCAGAGTGAGGGTTACGATGGATGTGTGGTGTGACAAGGATGGATAAGATAAGGAATGAGTATATAAGAGGAAGCCTGAAAGTAGCGCCAGTGGTAGAAAAGGTGAGAGGAAGCAGATTGGCATGGTTTGGGCATGTGATGCGGAGGGATGAAAGTCATGTCACAAAACGAGCGTTGAATATGAATGTGGAGGAACACACGGGCAGAGGAAGGCCGAATAAAAGATGGATCGATTGTGTGAAGAGTGATATGAGAATGAAAGGAGTAAGTATGGAAATGACGGCATATAGAGACGAATGGAACAAGAAGATTTACTGCGCCGACCCCAGATAATGGGAAATGGTTTAGAGAATGATGGTCGATAATAATTTCGACAGATTCTAAAACTGAATCAGCACGTCCCGACTCCACGTAGTCTTGTCTGCTCTACCCCTAGTAATTTTTGTAAATCCGAAGGCGCAGAGGGAGACGCTCACCTTCGCAACTTCAGCCGCTACGGGACGCAATTTGCCTGCAATTTGCTACGCAAGGACGAAGTGGCTGCACTTTTCGCAGCACCGAAGCTGATAGAAATAACTTCAAGGGTCAAAATTAGTAAATATATTTTATATAATCTACATAGTACATTTCCTTTATTTTTTTATTTTTATCATGGAATTGTAAGGTGAACAGGAAGTAATTATAAGTTTAATAATAATATTAGTTTTATTTTGTATAACATACAAATAAAATCTACACACAATAACATACTCTATCGCGTTTATGCTCGATGTATGTTTTTAACTAGTGCAGAATTTTTTTCGCTCAAATATAAGCGTACCATATTGGAAAGCGTAATAACTGTGTATAGTTTCTAAAAATAGTTTCGCTCATAACAAATTGAAACTATAGGCGATCAGTCCCGACCTGTGCGTACTGTTGTTGTATACTTTCAATATACGTAACAAAATACACGTTAGACTAACCTGTATGACCATAGATCATTTTGCCACTCAATAATTGAAATAATGAAGACTATCTATTGTGAAGTCACAGACTACTAAGAGGATACTACGCTGTAATGTCAATGTCAACTATAACTGTCAAGCAAATTTAAAAAAAATAACGGCAACTTTCACATAAAATTATATCTAACTTTTTGATTAATTTATTCCAATATAAACCGTAAATCAGATGGTTAACTGTGTTAAATTTAAACAGATTATTATTTTAATATTAGAGGTAACTTACGTAAATACGTACGTTTAGCAAATTTTTACATCAGTTTCCCGCCATTGTATATTTGTTTACTAGTTCAAACTTTCGCACCAGTGAACAATGTTATCTTCATTAGATTTAGAAAGGCTAATTACAGAGAAAAAACTTGAAATAGAGAAGGAGAAAACTGTTTTGGGTTTGATGCCGTCTTTATCATATAAAGTAAGTAAAATACTTGTTGCATTTACCGCCTTATGATCTTATCGATTTTTAGCCGCAGTCCCAGCTCCTAGTCAGTCTCAGTTATCAGAGAACATAGGCATCGGTTTAGTTCGTCTTAAAACTGTATTCGTTTTGTAAATAAATAAAGCGCAGTTATAAATCTTAATTTTTTAAAATTGTGGTAGTAATTTATTTTTGTGCTTACTGTGAAATTGCCGGTATGGCGAAGTATTTAAAATAGGCTATCATTGAAATATTTAAGGTTTGTACTGTTTTTAAAAGATGATTTTAATGGGTTTTATTTTATTTTATGACTATGTGTTAAGCATCAATTTTATTTATAATTTGTATACTTACTAGGAATATTATTTATTTCACTAGGCTTTTCTTATACCCTTAGACTTTATATGAAGTAGTCTCATGGCCTTATATTAAAATGCCAATAATGCATGCCATTTCCATTTACTTGTGTGCAGATCATATTGTAAATACAAGAGATACGTGTCTGTGTATGTGTTGAAATTACTGTACTATAATTACATTTTGCCAAGATGACTGGTAGGAACTAAATGTGGTTAGCTCAAGACTGGGCAAGTGGCACACCTCAGGAGAGGCCTATTTCCAGCCGTGGACTGAGAGTGGAAAATTCACTGGTTTTTTTTTGTCACATAATGAAGTTCTGCTTGAATGTTAAACTTTCATGAGGGATAGATCTTATTTTTGTTAGTCTAGCTCTAGTCCATAATAATATACTCTGGAAATCCTTTAAAATTTAATTTTATATGAATATATAACTACTGATCGATTGAAATCCAACTTTTTCTCCGAATGGCAACCTTAATTGCCTAAACTTTCTTATTCTCTTATATTATCCCAAAAATTAGAGATACCAGTGAGAAGATTTCAATGCTACACTCACCTGTCTATCCAACATGGTGAGTATTAGTAACTCTTTTAAAAATTCTTACTTTACAAGTCCACTCCTGAACATAGGCCTTCCTAAAGAGTGCCACAAAGCATGGTTCCAAGTCGCGGCCTGATGACAAATGAAACAATGAATGTTCATATTCTTATCAATTATTGTAGTTGTAAAGAGTTTAATTAATTTCCAGGTGGGGGCTTTAAATCTAGCTTCTCTTTCACTTATTCTGTTTGTACTTTAAAAATAAGTGATATATCATATTGATATAAATATAATTTTTCTTCATCTGATCCACGCTAGCTCTGATTAGCTGCTAGACTGTTTCTGTTACAGCCTATTAAAGTCCACTGCTGAACATAGGCCTCCCCCATAGATCGCCTCATGATAATCTTTGACATAGTCACCATGCTTGGCAAGCAGGTAGGTATGCAAGAGTTTTTTTACAGTAGCTTGGTAGCTGCTACAGGTAGAAAGCAATGGAAGATGGTAGGAGGTACACTAAACTGTAAGTCATTCTATAAATATTACAATAATTTTAACATCAGTCTAGAAATGTTCAGAATAAAAGGCTTATTGGTTGATTGAGCTTATTTACCATATGCATGGCAGTGGAGGGTATCATTGTAAGGAAAGCTACAAGCTCTTAAAAAGTACTGGGGCAGTGTAGTGAACTAAATATTTATTTCATCTCGATCTTTATAAGTTATGGTACTTTTACTTTCTTTTATTTAACTTTCTAGTAGGTTGGCATTGATATACAGTTAGTATATTAATGTTGGTAGGTCTTATATTGGTTCATCTGATAATTGAGACAGATAATGTTTAAGGATAAACATTGTCTTCTAGTAAATTTGTATGAGTTTGGGCTCATCTCACTCATTTCACTTATTTTGATAATTCCTATCATTATACTGTTACTGTTGTAACCTGTTAAAGTCCACTGGCAATGGTAATGGTTAGGGTGAGCGTTGTGATGACGAAACATTTACAAAGACCATTTTGGATTCTGCGACGATGAAACCGTTTTACATCCTTGAGTCAAACAGTCTTCGTTGCACAATGTTGGTCACTAATGTTATATGGTAATGCTGTCTTCCATAGCCAGTCCTAAGCCAGGAAGAGTATGAAGGGAAGTTCATTTCATCGTTAAGTAAAGTATGTTAAGATCGCGCTGGAAGTGCAGCATTAATTTAGCTTCGAATGCTATAAGTAAAATAACTTGTTGTATTATCGCCGTCGTGGAAAAGATTATTCGTTGTGTGGCGTTTACACACTAACTTGTGATCATTTCACTGGTTCTAATACCGTGTTGGACTAAAATCAGTTATTGGGGTTAGAAATTTGTAGTAGGAGTCAGGAAGTTGGCGGTGCTACAATCTTTAGCCTCGGAAAGTACATAAAGCCGTTAGTACCTGTGCCTGATCTCTCTCCGGTTGTGTCTGATTGCCGCTCACTATGAGTGAGGGAATAGAGTGCACCTTTGCTTTTGTATACACCCGGGCACTATAATCCTGTAAGTTGGTTAGTCCTTGTTGAAACTCACCGCCGTGACCACAATTCGGTTTGAAGGACTTTTATTATTATATTGGACCCAGTTCAGTGCTGACTTCATACTTGCAAGGCAAATACCAGTGGCTTCCTCCAACGCCACTACGCCGCTCAAGTCAGTCCAGTGCTACTGGCATTGTTTGGACACGTTTAGGCAGTCACTTCCAGTTTGTTCTTCAGTTTCCCCTTTACGTTTTGACACAAAGACGTCACGTAAATTAACTAAAAATAAGGCTTTTTTAAGTTTCATTTTACGTCTTTGAACTCGTTGTCCAGTTTCTAAAATAATAGCAAGCTGACTTACAGAGTCAAACCTGTTTATATGTACCCAGTGACTGACGCCGAAATTCTGAGGTACATTGGGTCTATATTTTTTTGTAGAATAGGGGAGACAATGGAGCACACATTCACCTTGTGGTAATTGAATGCTGTGGCCCATAGACATCTATGTAGGTACATTAATCCACAATTAAGAATCAAAATGCAGATGCTTTGTGACCCCTGATGACTAAGATAGAATACCTCGTTTCCATTAAAAAATGGTCTTCGGATATACACTTGCCATACGAAACACAGCAGTATTAAGCTTCTATTTTACGCTGGTTTTCTGCGAGAGTGTGGTCCTTTCCCGCGGTTGAGCCGATCCATTCGTGCTATAACCATAATATAGCTGCAGCGTTGCTCTACCACATATAAAATATTAACTGTCTACCTATAAAAGTATTATATTTACTGTCTACGTATAAACTAGGTATAATGCTACTGTCTTTTAAATAACAAGAGTCTGAGACCTTTTTAATGGCAACGAGGAATTCCGTCTGTTGATTCCTATCTCTACAAATAAATAAAATTGAAGTGTCTATTTGTAATATCAAAATAAGAGCTTTTTACTAAATACATATGGAAGAATATAGGGTACTTATAACAAAAACATAATCTTAAAAATTTTTGTCAGTCGATATGTTGGTCTGTTTGTTTTGGCGAATCTCTGGTACGGCTGGACCGATTTTGACAGAACTTTCACTGGCAGATGGCTGATGTTATAAGGAGTGTCTTAGGCTATGTACTTTTATTTTAGAAAAAGAATAAGGGTTCCGCAAAAAAAAATTAAAAACCCTAAATTATACGCGGGCGAAGTCGCGGGGAAAAGCTAGTTTAGTAATAAATTGAAGCGTCAGGTCAGTACAGTAGCCTAATGGTAGGGTGGGGACCGCGAAATCATAGGTCGTGTATTCAAATTCGCTATTCGCCTGCTATCTATCGTCCTCTAACACAAATCCTAACACAAGCAACTCGAATATTCGTCCAAGCCAACGTCCAGATTTAGTAGTCTGGGGTAACCGCGGTTAACTATGACATCTGGACGTTGAACATCTGAGTCCCCCAGTGACCATGGGTGTTGTAAAGTGCTCGAAACGTCGGGTATATAAAAAAGTTAATATACGTAATAAAATCCGTTAAAACTAGTATTATTTAACTGTGACTACCATTCGCGACTTTTTTATTATTATCTCACAGAAGGATCAATTTTGATTAGCTGCATATTCAGTTTATACCGGCACTGTCACCTACTGAACTCATATTAGGGTTTGAGTCCCGGGACGTCTCGTGTCTCGAAGCCCCGGGACTTTTCATAATTTTAGCTGTCTCGAGTCCCGGTACTTTCAGGTTGAGACTTGAAAACAAGAAACAAGATTGTTGAAACTGTTATGTTATCATGTTTATTTTGTAATAATTGAAGGAGACCAGCGCCATCTGTAAGTTAAATTACAAAAGGAGTTTCAGTTATTTGAAGCAACCGGAAAACGTACAGAAAGTTCGGAACTACTGTATAAACCCTTAAACACAATCAAACCGACGTCTGTTGAAAACAAGGGTGTGGGTTCTCCTTGTCCGGTGGCATTACTACATAAATCAGAAACAAATTGTTGAAAAAAGCTGTTGACGTTCTGATTTTTTTAAAAGTCTATTTTTAACTAGGTTCGTTTAATAACTATAAGATTAAACTGCTTAAAAATGAATCTGTTTCTGATTAAAAGAAACGAACAATGCAATTATTAAGTCTAAAATAACGTTTAAGTAATTAATATAAAATTTTTTTTCAACATTAATAAATGTCGATTTTTACAAAGAATTGCCTTTTATAATACGTTTCACCAGAAATTTACTCAATTAAAATTCTTCAAAAAAGGCTCACTTCTCTTGAAAATCTTTTTTCTTAAAAGTCGAAGTCCCGGGAATTACCGGGACTTTGATAGTAGGCTGTCTCGTGTCACGGGACTTAAAAATTTACGGGAATTCCCAAACCCTAACTCATATACACATTACACACACGACAACCGCAGGTTTTTTATTGTCTTGAGATGTTATCAGAAATATACTCCTCCCCATCTCTTCTTATTATTTCTCTCTGTCGCTAGGAAACCCACGGAATGATGACTAAAAAAAACGTTAAATATTTTATAATTTGTATTTACATTATATATAATTTGTACGAAGAGCCACGCTGCAGTTACACGTATTCTGGTTGTAGGAGGAATGGCTCGGCTCAACCGGGATAGGAGACCACACTCTTACAGAATACCAGCGTCAAACAGCAGCTTAATGCTGATGTGTTTTTGCCTATGGTGAGTGTAGAGAACCGGATACCCTTTTTACTGGAAATGATCTTAGTCCTCAGGAGTGACAACGCATCTGCATTTTGCTTCTTAATTGATGATAAATGTAGGTGTCTATGGCCCACACAGTCCACCTGATGGCATCCACTTACCATCAGGACTGTGTGGTCGTTATCACCCTGTTCTATAAAAAATATAACTAGGGGTCGGATTCGAATATAATATGGAGTTCTTAATTCTTATTTACAAAGAAATTGTAAACGTGAAGAAAAGTAGGAAAAATAGTATATTTTACCACATTGTTTGTAATTTATCATCGTAAAACATAATTTCATTAGTTTATTGTGACCTAACGGAAATAATGATTTCTTATATTCACTCGAACACTACACATTGAATAACACTACTTTTGTAAAATTTATCGCGTTTTATTCTACTTACTTATTTTATAAGTAATGATAAATAAAAATAAGTAGAATAAAACGCGATAAAATCTGTAAAAGTAGTTTTTTCCACTAACAGAAATAGTTTTAATTAATTAATCAGTCTGTTCGTTACGACTAACCAGCAACGATAAACTTTAAAATATTAATGGGTTCATCGATAAAGGACACAATAGGTAAAATAGACTACCGACGTGATTAGGCAGAATCTTAATAGGTTTGGCATATCTTTATTTTTAACTAGGTTCACGAGAGTAGGCTCGTACTGGAAAGTGCAGTGTTGGTTGCGGTGCCCCACTATATGGAGTGACGATCAGGTGAAACGGACAGGAAATCGATGGACCCAGGTGGCCCAGGACCGTAACTGGTGGCAATCACGGGCAAGCCTGTATTCAGCAGTGGAGTTATGATATAGTGATAGTGGTACGCAAATATCTTGTATGATAATTCTACTAGTGGCCTGCTGCAATATTTTTCTTAGTGTTTGTAAGTAGCGCTATCACAAAAGTTAGTACTTTTAAAAAGTTCTATCCTGGGTAGAGGTTATTATTCAGAAACTGCTGTTTTCCTCGACTTACTGACCACGGGTCGCAAACGCAACGAGCGCAGGCAACTGCCATTATTCACGCACAATAAGCTGTTTTTTTTTATAGAATAGGGTGACAAACGAGCACACAGTCCACCTGATGGTAAGTGGTTGCTGCGGCCCATAGACATCTGCATCTATCCTCCATTAAAAATCAAAATGCAGATGCGTTGCCACCCGTGAGGACTGAGATGGAATGCCTCGTTTCCAGTAAAAAGGGTCTCCGGTTCTCTACACTCACCATACGAATTCACGCTGGTATTCTGTGAGAGCGTGGTCCTTCCCCGGTCGAGCCATTCGTGCTACAACTATACTACTAATATAATTGCAGCATGGCTCTACAACGTATAAAATGTTGTTCGATGTCACTATACAACTACTAGCCCAAACATTAGATTTTGTATAACATATTATGTAATAGTAGCATAATTCTACTGTATAACATGGACCTCTCCCATAGACTGACATACAGCACGATCTCTTGAATAGATTGGCATAAGGAAGCCTCATTACATCGATTGACATACAGCACGGTCTTGAGCCACATGCGAAAGATGCGATTGTGTAACTCTGGTGTAGGGGTAGGGAACAAAGCTTGCTGGTGTACACTCTAAGAGGAAGCTCCTTTTCTGCTGAAGTGTCTGTCGGGGAAGGTACCATCCTCTTTTTCCCCCCAAATAGCAGTGCTTGCACTGCTGTGTTCCAGCCTGAAGGTTGAAGAGAATCAGTATAATTATAGGCATTCCATCTTAGCCCTGATGGTTGACAGTGCACCTTTAGCCTATTATTTGAAACTAGGCCATATAGCTCGAAGAACCGACAACCGATGGGGAAAAAAGGTTTACGAGTGGGAACCTCGTACCAAGACATGCAGGAAGTCGATGGATGCAGATTTTTTTTATAGGATAAGGATGACAAACGAACACACAGTCCACCTGATGGTAAGTGGATGCTGTGGCCCATAGCCATCCTCGATTAAGAATCAAAATGCAGATGCGATGTCACCACCACTGAGGACTAAGATGAAATGCCTTGTTTCCAGTAAAAAAGTCCACAGTCTCCGGATCTCTACACTCATCATACGAAACACAGCAGTATTAAGCTGCTATTTTACGCTGGTATTCTGTGAGAGCGTGGTCCTTCCCCGGTCGAGCCGACCCATTCGTGCTACAACCATATTATAGCTGCAGCGTGGCTCTACCACGCATAAGTAGTGGCTGAGGACCGTGCTTTGTGGCATTTCTTGGAAGAATTGTGTGCTCAGCAGTGGACTTGTGAAGGTCTGTAATGATGATGATGATTAAGTGGCGTTTCCTATGTCACTACATACTTATAAAAAAATACTGTTAAACATAAAAAAGGCTCAGTAAATTTTATTTATAATCTATGTTAAAAAATAAGTTTTAATATCTTCATGTCAATTTCCTTACTTTTACAACACGTGCACATGAGTTAAAAACATATGGCACGTACGTTATGAGATTGACGCAAATGATTTCCTTCACCGTGCATTACTTTCAAGAATGCTATGTTCATGCTTAGCCTAAAATCAAATGTCATGACGTATTGATTTAGCATTAAATGCCACTGTTCCTTTTATGAAATTTCTCATGAAAACACATCAACACTCAGGCTACCGTCGTGTACTAAATTTAGGTCATTCGTTTAGATTTAACATAAATAAAGTAATGCGTTTTTAAGTTAACGTGAAGTAATTAGGGGTTCAAATGAGGTCGTATAAAGGTAAATGACGTTTTGATAAGTCTGGCTTTTTTTTGTATAAAACAAGGGTCACTAATGAGCGGAGTCTTGATGATGAGTCCACCTGATGGCATGTGAACGAATTAGCCCATTAACACCTACCCACCTATTCTATAAAAAATAAAAATATAAATTTCTTCGCAACTTTCCGCTAAACATATAAAATGATGTGTCTTACCTGGATTGAAGCGCACCTCCCGCCCTCCTCAATTGCATACACTAACTCCGTCACCACTGCAGCACCGCTAAGGCGGTCAGCCGCCGTAGAGTCTATATTACCTGAGGATGCCTCGTGTAGAGGCGAAACACGTGTCGTATTATCGTCGATGGTGTGTCTTGCCTGGAATAGTGGTGTTGAGAGTAGTGGTGCTTGGTCTAGTGGTGACGGAGTTAGTGTATGCAATTGAGGGAGGGCGGGAGGTGCGCTTCAATCCAGGTAAGACACATCATTTTATATGTTTAGCGGAAAGTTGCAAAGAAATTTATATTTTTATTTTTTATTATAATGAATTTCCGCAAAGTAACGCCTGATTCTATCAATTACCTCACATCTATACTCGATTAAGAATCAAAGTGTAGAGCCGTTGTCACACTTCAGTACTTTGTTGGAATGCGCCGTTACTATTGAAATGGGTCTCAAGTTCGCGTCCCTCATCATACCAAAGACAGCACCAGAATACTGCTAATTTACGTTTTACTTTGCCGCTTTCTTGCATTTCTGCAAGCAGAATTATATTTTATATTGTGCGCAAACACTGTATCCTTGAACCTACGGCTTTGTTCCCTAACTTGTTGACATCAAAATTATAATCAATTTGTTGTACATTGGAATCTTATTAAATTAGCTTTTCATATATCTTACTAAGTACTCCTATACATAGTGACTATCAATGTGATGACAACAAAGCGTAGAACAGACGTTAAGAGACCGATGGGATGGCAATCCGACGCGATCGGAGAGAGATCAGTCGCAGGACCAACGGCTTTACGTGCTCTTCGAGGCAAGTGGATGTAATACCGCTAACATTCGTAATCCGGACTGCTAAGGGAAATTTCTTAAAAGAAAAACCTAACAATTGATTTTGGCCCTCCCCAGGGTTCCGAGATACTGCCTCGTTGGTCTGTGGTCGTAAGCGTGATTGTTGATCACATGATCAAGGATTTTGTTTTAAGTTCCATTTAAACTTGAGACCTATAAGTCCCACACCAAAATGGAACATACCGTTATCGTTACAGCATCTTAAAGTTCATTGCTGAACATAGGCCTCCCACATAGATTGCCTCATAGGAGAGATATTTGCAATAGTTGTAATGTTTCTGTTGATTTAATAATTTCAGCTCTCAGTGGGTCATGTGCTCCTGGTAGATTAACTTCTATACATTCATCCATTACAGATTATTATAGCCCACTGCTGAACATAGGTCTCTCCCATAGATTGTCTCATAGGAAGGGATATTTGCCATAGTTGTAATGTTTCTGTTGATTTAGTAATTTCACCTCTCAGTGAGTCATGTGCTCCTGGTAGATGGTCTTCTATACATCCATCCATTGCAGCCTATTAAAGTCCCCACATAGCCTCATAGGGGGGATATTTGTCACGCTTGGCAAGCGGGTTGGCAACCGCAGTTTTTTATTATTTTAAGTAGTTATTAGGAAGGCATTGCTGTCCATCTATTTGTTTCCCTCTGTCGCCTCTTACAACACCCACGAGATGAAATGGGGTAGAGGATATTCTTACACCGCCACTACACAGTATGGAACATGTTTATAATCAATTGTAGTTTTAACTTCTTTATGGCTACTAATTTTTGTTCTAGAATGTAGAAGAAAACAAAGAGAATAATAACACACGGACGGAGAACAAAGAGAATAATAACACACGGACGGAGAAGACAGTGAACTTTTCGAATGGGGTTTTACCGGAGCGTTCAATGAAACCGAATGAGAAGTTTCAAGAAAACCCGCAGAGAACCTTCACCGAGTTTGATGAAGAAATACCTCCGGATTTGGAGAGATATATACGGGTGAGCGATCTTCTTGCATGATTTTAGTAGCTTCAGTTATAACTGTCATGTCGACTGTCTACTTCGGTGTTTATCCTGTGGACGATTGTCCTCTTCACTGTTTCTTTAGTGTGGCCTAGAAGAGCACCTCAATTTTTTTCCAGTTTTAGAAAGTCGTTGCGGAACCTCACCGAAACCGTACCGAAAGTGGAACTGTGTAGTATTTATTATACAGGGAATCGTCAAATAAGAACATCATTCTTGTAGTTCTCTCTCTACTCTATGCATATTATTATGACGTTTTACGTGGTACAAAATTAGATAACCTTTTTTACCGCCTGGAAAAAATATGGTGTGTGTAAAATGTGAAGTGAACGGAGTATGGCACTGATATTTTACAAAAAATAAAAATAAAAATTTTGAATTAAAGTTTTGAAATTTTTTTTAACATTTATTTCCCTTGTCCTTGAGACTGTGACCCTGCGAAGTGACAAGGTCGAAGATGCCTACTAAATTTACTTTTTTATTACCGTTCGTAAAGTAGGTTGGATATGATTTGAACTTCGATAGATTTTAATTAATTAATTTATTGAATTCAAAATTTGTGTTTTTATTTTTTTGTAAAATATCAGTGGCATAGGCTTCTACTCCGCCGTTCATATGTTGCACCCTATTTTTTCCAAACGATAAAAAACTATACATATATAAAAATAATTCTCTGTAAATAAAATGTATAAGTAAACACATAAGTAGCGATTTTTAAAAAAAAACCTGTTTCCGGAGCGGGGGCGCGGGGGCATAGACTATTCAAATTTGGTTTTTTTATCTTGACAATTGGTGCAAATACTCATGAATTAAAATAATAAATTATGTATTTTTACTTTTTTCAAAGTAAACTTAAATGTTTCAAAACAAGAGTGCGAAGTTTGTATAAAAAATTTATTATAAGAATTACATCCCAATCAGTTGTATTACGAGGCATCCAAGGAGAAAGGATTTTTGAAAATTCAAACTAACAGGTTAAAGTTCATTGCTGAACATAGGCCTCCCACATAGATTGCCTCATAGGAGAGATATTTGCAATAGTTGTAACGTTTCTGTTGATTTAATAATTTCAGCTCTCAGTGGGTCATGTGCTCCTGGTAGATTAACTTCTAGACATTCATCCATTACAGATTATTATTATATAGCCCACTGCTGAACATAGGTCTCTCCCATAGATTGTCTCATAGGAAGGGATATTTGCCATAGTTGTAATGTTTCTGTTGATTTAGTAATTTCAGCTCTCAGTGGATCATGTGCTCCTGGTAGATTAACTTCTATACATTCATCCATTACAGATTATTATTATATAGCCCACTGCTGAACATAGGTCTCTCCCATAGATTGGTCTCACAGGAAGGGTGAAATAGGGTGTTACAGTTTTTATGAATCTTTTTAAGCTCACGGAGCGATTGACTCGAAACTTGCTAAAAGTACCTATCCTGTAACTAAAATTAATGGATATTATGTATTTTGCGGTTTTAGTATAACGAAAATGTTTGTCCTTGTGCAATTTATGTATGTCGCGTTTAACAAAAAAAGATAACCCAGGGTAATGAGGTGATCGCTACCAAGCTATTTCTATATTTCTATTATTTGTTTTGTGTAGTTAAGCGATGTAATATTATCTAATACCCCCATATCATCCCGTGGTTGTCGTATGTGGCGTCAGACAGCAGCGTATCTCTTATAACGGTAAATACTCGCTTGCTAAGCGTGGTAACCGTGGCAAATATCCCCCTGTGAGGCAATATATGGGAGAAGCATTTGAGTGGATTTTAGGCTTTAACGTTTGTGTAGTTAATTTGTAACAATGTAATTATAAACTGTTATTTTTAAAAAAAAGTCCCACTAAATTTATTACTGGTCCTTTCCGGGACAGAGATATTTTCTGAACTAGTGGTAAATTAAACACAAGAATGATTTTCAATAATTATTATTTATAATCTATATTGTATAAAAAAGTTTCTATTTTTATATAGCATTGGGCGACAAACGAACACACAGTCCACCTGATGGTAAATGGATGCTTTGGCCCATAGACCTATTCTCAATTAGGAATCAAAATGCATACAATTTCATGAAAGACAGCTTTACTTAGAACAAGCGTTTTCGGTATATTATCTAAAATCTATAATAAGGTTTCATCTATGTTTCATGAAATGGTAAATATTCATAAATTTAAAAAAAATTTAAAACATTTCTAATTGAGAAATGCTCGATGAATATTTAAGTGACGCATCAGTAGGCATATTATAATGACATTGCATAAAATATAATTCATTTGACATTCGATTAGACTATATATTAATGTCATGTAAATATCCCATTCTATTGTTGAATTTTCTTATATAATTATAATGTAAATAATAAAATGAAATAATTGTGGAAATGTAATATATTTAATTGTAATTGTAATATTTGTATACCTAAGGCTTGAATGCAGCGAACATATTTAAAAAAAAAATATCTATTCTGTCTCATTACCTGTATTCACAAATAAAAAAAAATTAATTTGAATTTGAAAATGCAAATGCCTTGTCACTCCTGAGGACTAAGATGAAATGCCTCGATTCGAGTAAAAAGGGTCTCCGGTTCTTTAGACTCACTATACGAAACACAGCAGTATTACGCTGGTATTGTGTGAGAGCGTGGTCCTTCCCCGGTCGAGCCGACCCATTCGTTCTACAACTATAGCTGCAGCGTGGCTCTACCATGTAAAAACGTATTTCTAATATAAAAGCCAAACACAAAGGCATCGCTGATTTTTCAGTGCTTAACTTGATCGAGTTATTAAAAAATGAACGTTTTTTGATTGAAACCCATATTAACTTCGGTGATAATGAAATATTCAATTAAGCTCGCGTGAAAGCCGACAGCAAAATGACGTAATGCCAGCAGACAGCCTTCGTTTAGTTTTAACGAGCGATTATTAGATGTGGATTGACGTTCTATGAGACAGACTACTTAGCGCCTATGAATTGTTTGAAACCACGTAATGTAATTTACACACAGAACTCTAAATAAATATGTAGATCCCTTCTAGGTGATAGTATTTTGTTTCTGGAGAGTATTTCGTCCGTTTAGGTACCATACTCTTATGCACTGCTATGTTCCGGTCCTTCTTCTCCTGCAGGGAATAAAGAAGCAGTATAATTACAAGCTGTGAGGCATTCAGCCTTATTCCACAGATGTGACAACACCTATACTTACTGGATAACTTTTTTTACCGTCTGGAAAAAATAAGGTGTAACATGTGAACGGAATAGAAGCCTATGGCACTGATATTTTACAAAAAATAAAAACAAAATTTTTTAATTTAACGTTTGAAAAAAAATTTTTTGCACAATTACTTTGCCCTTGAGCCTGTGACCCTGCGAAGTGACAATGTCAAAGATGCTTACTAAAATTGTTTTATTGCCATTCGTAAAGTAGGGTGGTTATTGGAATTTCGATAGATTAAGTAATTTATTTTATTCAAAATGTTTGTTTTTACTTTTTGTAAAATATCAGTGCCATAAGCTTCTACTCCGTTCACATGTTACACCCTATTTTTTCCAGACAGTAAAAAAGGTCATCCAGTATACTTTTCTTTGTTTGAAGTTAGTTACAGATGTTCATGGAATGTAATGGCCACTGAAGATCAGGTGGACTCTAAGTTCGTTCGTCACTTTCATTTGATAGAGAAAATTGGAGATGCAAAATGCGGCAGATGTCTTATTAGGAATGAGCGTACCTAGTAGTTCGCTGCAAATTTTAACTCTTCGATCCCTATAAAATTCCCATGCAGTCGCATGCGCCCGTAAATCCCGACTTTGCACTTAAAACCATTAAAACTTATATTTAGAGACTACTTTTCTATGAAGAAGTTTGGCATTATAAAATCTATACAAAACTATCATATAAAAGTCTGGTATTACTTTATTACAAAAAGACAATTGGATTTTGGTCACAAGAAAAAAACATACCAAGCGAATGTCGGCAGCGTAAAAATCACAATTATTTCAATATATATTACTCGAAATTACTTACTTAAAAAGATAAATTATATTCACATAAAAACTTTCATTACAGTTTTATAATAAAACACTATACTAAAACACTAGAAAAATCCAAAAATCAACACAATAACATTCACCGGAAAATGGCGTACGTAATGAACGTAGATTATAAATAAATATCCGTAGGATAACTGTTTTTTTATTGCACTAGAGGATAGAAAATTTTATATTGATTCGAAAAGTAGTCTCTAAATATAAGTGTTAATGGTTTAAAGTTTTGTGGGTGTGCGTGGTCGAATCGGACCGCTTAAATTTTGACGGGAATAGCGCCGTGGTCGAATTAGACCGCTAAGAGATTGAAGAGTTAATATGTAGTTGTAATCACCATATGGTGGCGGTGTAAGAATATTCATTGCTTATATCGCACTCAAGTGTGTCGTATTTGTAATAGGCGACAGAGAGAAGTTGAACCAAGAGAGTATCGATTTCGTATCAATTTCGATATATTTTCAAATATTTGTTTCAATCGATAAAAAATTAAGCAACAAAAGCATTCATGTGCTGTTGTCGTTTTTTACCACATTATGAAAAACATGACGATATATCAATATTTATCACTATCATTTAAAAATATCGATATATTTTTTTCTCATGCACATCCCTACATTGTCCTGATGAATAAAAAAAAACTACAGTTGCCAACCCGTTTGTAAAGCGGGAACTATAGCAAAATGCTTCCTATGAGGCACTCTATGGGGGAGGCCTATACGGTATTGTTGCGCGGCTAAGTTGACATCTGGTACTAGTACCATCTAGTGTCGGGTAACGGAGCGAGGGGAGAGCTTTCCAGAAAATGACATCACTAATATTTCGACCGACAGCGCCATCTGTTGTCGAAACGAAGAACTAAGCTTCTGGAAGCTGACTCTCGAACTTTCGGCGCTTTGTCGATTGGTGCGCGTATTTACTTGAATGTTCTGGATGATTCGGTACTAATGT